GTAATAGATTAATAAAATTTCGAATAAAAATAACTTCTTTCTATTGGCTAAATCAAATCTCGAACATAAACAAGGACACACCGTTTGACATTTACTTTAAACGTTCTATCCCGCAGCCGAATTCGACCGAAAATTCGAACTTAAACGTCCTTAACACATATATTACGTATTAAAATCTTAATCGTGCTTAAGCAATCTCACCTGAATGACAAAAATTGTCAGAAATACGTAAACGTAAACAACCCACTCCGTTCCTTTCGCCATCTTACTCGATGACGTAATGTTCTATTTTATTTTCATTGCTCCATCGTAATCTTTAAAAATAAATTTATTATTTATTATTTATTATTTTAATCGTATTAATTTTACATAAAAGTAATTATTTATTAATAATATAAATTAATACAATTTGTAATTTTAATAATTTGAGAATTATGTTAACGTCACGTGATACGATAAATCTGTATCGAAATTTCAAATATCTGTTATGTTAAAAATTCTCTAAAAACATAATAAATAATAATTTACAATAAATATATCGTAAACGATAATTTTAGTAAGTGTAATAGACATTGTCGACAGGGTCGGCGGGTTAAAATTTGCGCAAACTGTTGGTAATTGATCGACACGTATCAACAGCACGAAGCACTTTGCAAATTTAAACCGAATAAATTCAAGAATAATATGAATAAAATCCGTATTTTTAAACTTCCTAATGAGTTTTGGATATTTTCAATTTGTCCTTATGATATTGTCACAATTTTTGATCAATTTACTTAGGTAAAGGTTCCGAAGAATACATTTATCTAATGGCAGCGGAGCCGGATTTACGTGGTACAATACGTATAAACTAAAAAATCTATAGGTTAGAGCTTGGCATTACAACGGACCTGTTTCTATTCTCAAAGACAGTTCGTACAGTACATATTGCCCTTTATTATTTGGCAAAGGAGTAGTAAGGAACGTTGTAGCCCAGGGCCACAACGATTGTAAATCCGGCTCTGGATGGCAGACATTGGCGTGTAGAGTGTGCAAAGATTTACATCCGTTAGAAAAATGCCGAGTTTTCTGCTTACAAAATTAGCTAATGAGTCACGCGGGCGTTGCCAAACAACAAAAGTAACATATACAACGTAACCCATTAATCACTGCCAATAAAAGTGAGTCTCTCGTTCTTTCCTTTAAATTTTAATTTAATGAATCTTTTAAAATTACGTTCTATTGAAAATCTATTCTTCTTCAATTACAATTAATGGATGTAAATAACCAGCAACTGAAATGTCTACAAAATGTATGTTACCGAAGACATTGTTATTGAGTTATAGAAACACTTGGGCATTTTAAATTTATTTTCAAAGATGTTTACACCGTTCTTATTATAATTATGATTATTATTCTTGCTTTCATTTACAATATTTTTTCCTTTGGGAAGAGTATTATAAATTAAATCGCTTCGCACCACTTATCACGGACCGCCATTAATTTGCGAATCACATAAATATTCTGAATCATCTTTCTAAAAATAATAATCTGTTCTATTGCGGTTGCTGCTTTCTCTGCAAAATACGAAAAATCTCAGTAGATCGAACGGTCATTTCCAAAAATTAATTCCAAATTCACTTCTTTCGGACTTTTAAGGATACAAATACAAAAATAACGTATCGTGTCGAAGAGGGGGAGAAAGTTCTCAAAAGGTGTGTGACGGTTGATGTGGATTAGTGTTCCTTTCCTAAAGAAATAATTATAAATGCTATATTTTTAGATCATTTATAATAAAAAAAATACTGCTTTTTTATTATAAAATGAAGTTTCAAACACGAGAGGTATTCGCTGGTTTAGTTCTTCTTCCTCTTTGATTCACGCAACGAAATATCTTTGATAAACAAATAAATAAGAACTATTTATAAATAAGATAAAAATTTCTAATCTTAAATGGACATAAAATCTAAATTTTAGTATTTTTATTTTGAAATAGGCTGTATATTTCTAGAATACATAAAACAAACATTGTATTTATTATAGAAAATTCTTCCAAAAACAAAATGGTATCGAGTTACATAAATGTCTACAGGAAAAAAATTAATTTAAATAAATTCTATCGATCGTAGCGTGTTTAAAGCGGCTCTTTATTACTCTCTGTTTTTTTGAATTTATATTTAATTTGTGTAAAGAATTGAACGTAACTCGAAACTTTATTGATATCGATCGAAATCTTTATCTACAATTTCAAATTTTTATCTCTTTCGAGATAATTTAGCAAAATTTTCGAGAAAAATGTATGATAACGATTTAAGTAGCTCGTTCTAGATAAAGTTACGCGTGGATTGCGTACATACGGACACGCAAAGAACGTTCGTATAATTAATTATAAATGATAGAAGTGTACTTCAATTGCAATAACAATAAGAAGCAGCCGCGATCCGAGAAAAAAAATATTGATTTGCAATGTGTTACTGATCGAAATATAACTCCAAAGTGAGATAATACGTACGCAGTTACAATAAAAATAAGTAATGTCAATACTTATGTATCAAGTTTACGCAATGCCGGATTTACTTATAAGCTAGAATAAGCTATGGCTTTGGCGGCTCAATCTTATATTTGTTTGGTCGATAATCATTTTTGAGCTAACCTCTTTAGTGTTTTCGCTTAAGGACCTCAGTAAATTCGGTCCTAATTTTATAAAACCGAAAATATGTATACAGAAGATTCCATAACCAAATGAAACAAATCCGAGCTTTCGATAGTGAAGCCAATAAAAAAAATTTACAATCTTCTCAATGGTTTACTTTAGTCCTTCACGCTCGTGTCTCTTGGTACTGTACGTGGACGATCTGCCAAGGGAGGAGTTTCTATGCGAAATTGACCCCTATTTATGTGTTAGACGCGAAGAAACTCCGGTAAACTCCACGTCGATAAGGCCAGGCCCTACGAGAGGGGACGAAGCCGGGGCCAGGAGCCAAATCGGAGGGGAAAAAATTAAGAAATTGTCTGTTTTCTGATTATTTTTTCGAAATAATGAAATAACTTTGGCCACGAGCTAAAACTAGATTATATTTCTACTTCATTATCATTATTGTTATTTATATAAACAGGATCTCCGGACCAAAATGGGGGGGGACCAAAATGACCTTTGCACCGACAACTCTCTATTCTCTCGGGAGACCAGGATAAGGCCATTACGTATTACGAACAAATTTAAACAGAAGCGCTACGATCACGTTTGATTTTTAATCTATAAATTCTATTGTTTGAAGGCCATAACCACAAACAAATCTTGATATAATTTTTAAAAAATTCCACATTTTACAAATACAGCTTTCAATTTAACAAATATATTGATTTTTCATTTAATATTATATAAATTCTCGCCATGTTTCTTTAAATCTGTAACAGTGTTACAATTATTGCTGATTTATGGCGAGCTACTTTATGATTCAGAAAAAAATCCCGGCGGATAGAACTTCTCGGCTGTAAATCAATCGCAAATTTATTTTATAAATTCAGAGTTTGCTATAAAATCTAAATTTATCGATGTTTATGCTCGTACGTAGAGCAGTAAATATAAGGTCTAGTATCGTAGTTATATTATTTGTAATTTCACCATTTGTTCGAGCGTGCTCGAAATATCGTAATACACATTATACGAAATTAAATAACAGTTAAATTTTATATTTTTAGACGTTAATAAAGAGATAAAATTAATTTATGGTCATTAGTGACTCTCCGAGACGGATTATGCTAATTTGAAATGTACTTATTGAGGATTGGTTGGATTAATGCATATCTAAACGACGATTGGTTAACAGAAATATTTTAAAAATTCATTTACGTATTTCAAACACGTGTTTTATTGTTAGTTAAAATTACTGTAGCATTTTTCTGTCAAAATATGTTTATCGGTCGTTGTAAGAGTAATTTTATTTGGCATTTTAATCAAGGCATCCAGTTTCCGATATCACAGTTCGTTAATGTATTTGGTATTTGATATTTTAATTAAAATAGATTTTTATCTCCTTTTTTTTTTTGTATGTGATACAGAGTTCATTAATTGAAAAGTTCGTAAAAACATTTCGATTTTTCATAGTTAATTTAAAATCTCATCAATCTTACTACTGTATTTTCTTGATCTTTCGGATACTATTTTTCTTATCTGTTCTTGTCACTGCCATGCTCTCGGTGTTTGCAATTTTTACATTTTTAGAAGTGTTAGTTATTTAATTTTAATTAATGAATGTTATTATCGTCATTTTATCTACATTTATTTTCTACTGTCGCAATATAGCCTAATAATGGTGAAGTTTTCTTCGAAAGTAAGTGTAACTTTTAACAACACATCTATTTTATAACGGTTAACACCTCCAAAAATTCTTCTTTAGTCACTCTCTCATAAATATGAGGTATAAAATTTGTAGATTTTTACGTCTTAATACCTTTTATCTAATTGGATAAACGTAATAAATATCTGTTATTTTTCGTGATTACGATAATTGTATTAAAAAATACAATGTGTTTTGTCACAATAGGGTTTGTTGCCATAGGTTTAATTCCTGAAAATCTGTAAAACTATAATAAACTTTAACACGTAGTTGAGGGTATAATGCTCTGGCGCAATTTCCTAGATAGAAAACCTACCTCGCTGTTCGTATGACACAAAGAAATGAAATAGGAAAAATCAATTGAGGGAATTTTGCTAACACAGCCGTACCGTATAATTACCATAACGACGTCTGATGATAGACTGTTATAGTGTGACAAGTAAAGTTAATATTTCAGTTTTATAGCCGTTCGTTTACGGTAATAATCGTGAGAGGGAAGCACTTTACTGCTCTCGTCCGAGTATCGATCGGTGTTGCTTCTCGTGTCTTGGCTTTTATCACCGATATCGAAGATCAGCAATTAAATTCTTCAATTTTAAAGGTAATTTTGAAGCGTTATTATCTCTCACTCTTTAATTAATGTCATTTATTTAATTGACGTTAAGCTGTTAATTATAATCGATGGTATCAATGTGGATATGGGATACAGTATCACTAATAGCCTTAAAGTGTCGATTTCTTGTGTGTTCGCATAGTGTCCATGGCGCGTATGTTCTTTTATAATAATCTTTCCATTTTACCAAGGTCCACGTGTTGATTATCGGTGTTGACAGTTCACTGTGCAGGTATGCTAATCACAATTACGCTCTTCCCAGATAAGTATTTTTTTTTTGTCTAGTGTAAATCTGTACGTAGAACTGGGAATAAAATTAGGCTTACGTCTACGTTCTTTGCCGTGTAAACATAATTGAGAGTACGACGATATGTAAACATAGTGTGAATGTTTTCAAATATACAAGTCAAACGTGCAGTACATATTTAAAAGACATAGAAAATTAAAGATGGAGTTGATTTAGATACGTAATTTAATAGGATACTGTAGAAAATCAACGGTAGATTATTGTAGAGAAGAATATTTTGGTTTTCTTTCGTTTGGCTTTATTTAAAGTGGGAATTAAAGTCAGTTTTGTTATGTTAATTCTGTCGTCAGTGTGGAATTGATTGGCATTAATTTTAATTAAGATAGAATCCCGTGTTCTGGGTTCTTGTTATTCGGTTAAGCGTCAACAAATGCCCCAAAATAGGAATAAATTAGTCGAGTTTTATAAATAAGATTTCATACGCGATTAATAACCGTTTGGAATAGGGAAAATGCGAGAAGCATTCTTAAAATAGTAAGAGTAACACCCCGATTGCGCAGAAAGTTATTTGCATATCGAATCGAAAAATGTGTCATATCAAAATGGTATGGTCCATGGGTTTTGCTTTTATTTCAGAATCTCTATCGTTATAGGTCAGATCGATATGCCACATGTGGTACATCGAACCGTCTCTCGCGTTGCCACGTTGAAGATACAAAGGGAGGGAAGCGGATTTTTAATTCGTAAAGTTATTGGAGGCATCATAGACACATGCGATCCTTTTCTTCTTCTAGATCACATCGGTGAGATATTTACGTTAATTTTTTAGAAATTAACTAATCCCATTGGAAATCTTAATCGATTTTCTTTAGGTCCAGTTACTTACCAACCGGGCGAAGCCGTAGGAGCGCCCGACCACCCTCATCGTGGTTTCGAAACTGTTACCTATGTTATAGAAGGTGGAGTCAAGCACGAAGATTCTGCGGGTAACAAAGGTTTGCATTATTGTTATTTTAAACAATAACTTGCGATATTTTAGTATAATAACGCTGCCATGGCCGTATTCGACAGGGGAGCTTCGTAATGGATGGCTACAGTGGATGAGAGCCGGAAGAGGTGTGGTACACAGCGAGATGCCCACCGACGAGTTAGTGAGAGACGGAGGTGTTTGGGAAGGGTTCCAACTCTGGATTAACCTTCCAGCTAAAGTTCGTACGACCGATTTATTCAATAATTTATACCATTTTAAATTCTACATAATTTATCGATATTAAATTTAAATAACGTTCGGCACGATATCTAATAATACATTGGAAATTATTTTATAAATATAACTATTTTAAATATTTATTGAAGGCTAAAATAGTCTGGTTTAAATATCGAAACAGGATAAGATGATGGAACCTTGCTATCAAGACATACCACCGGAAGCCGTTCCTATGATAATCGACGAAGAAAATGGCGCCACAGTTAAGGTCATAGCGGGAGAATGTCGAGGTATTTATTAAGAACAAATGCTAATTTGTGCATTGTGTCACGTGTTTAAAATTCTGTCGATCGTTTTTCTCGGGCTACACGACCGGAAATCACGCCATTGCGTGCCCGAATCGTGTGCCAAATCCACTCGCTAATGGCGCCATTCCACCTCCGATTATTTATTGATCATGAATCGAACGATAACTCTTATGTTAATAGTGATAACTCTATATAATTATCGATTGTTGTTGCGTTGAACTGACGGCAATATGTTGCCATAATACACTTCTTCCAATGCAACTGTTCCCACGTGTACACTGCCACAGATCAATGTGTTAGTTGAGCGACTGTATTAACGTTTAATACCTTGTTACAATTAACATATACAGGAGTAATGAAAGTTTAAAATAGGGCCTAAGTTGTTATTATTCCTCGAAGCATCAACGATTTTTTTTAACGTAGGCCCTATGAAACATTGTTTATTCCGGTTCTATCGATATATACAATGAATGTTTCGGAGAATTGAACAGTGTTTCAATCTATTATAATATTCCAATATATCACTTTAATTTATTATATGTCTCCCGTTTCACTGTTATTTTGCCATAAACCTATATCTATCGTGACAGTTTCAGTGTATAATTATGGCATGACTGTTTGCAGTGGTATAATAATTAATTCTTTTTACTTACAGACTTTACCTATCTTGAAACTAGCTCGAATAACATTAATAATCGGTCAAAATTTAAAATTAGAGTGGTATTGCGTGCGGTTTTTCCTAGTATTATATTTGCCACAATATGTTTTTCTAAAGTTTTTAAAGTATTCGAACATGGTTGAAATTATATTCTGTTTTTTACAGGTTCGAAGGGTTGTGTGACGACAAGAACACCCATATTACTATTAAGCATCCACTTAATTCCCGGAGGGGTATTCACTCACGAAATTAACCCTTCTCACAATGCTTTTGCCTACGTCTGGAGAGGTTCGGGTTTCTTGGGCCACGATTTGAAACCCGCTAAAACGGGAACGGTGGGTCTACTGGGTTCCGAAGGTAATTCATTTTTAATGAAAGCCGACGACGAAGAAGGTAAGATGTTAATAACGCTGGTTGCCACGGTGCAAACAGCAGAAAAATTTGATCAAGACCGTGAGAAATTTCCGCTTTATACTTTCAGAATGTCACTTACTCTTAGCGGCCGGTCAACCCCTAAACGAACCCGTGGTCAAGTATGGTCCTTTCGTCATGAATACCGAAGAAGAAATACAAGAGGTAAGTTTTTTAGAATGGAACAGTTAACAATTAATTGTTGGAAAGAAGAGGTATTTGTAAGACAAACGTGATGTCATGGATATAATGTAAGGAAGTGTCGTTTAATTAATTGAACAAATGTACGCGGATGGCCGGTATTCAAATTAAGATTGCTGAAATAAATAACCAAATGTTTAATGTATTTTAAAGGTTTTTCTGTCAAACGATTAATTTCCTTCCACTTTATTTTACTGTTATTTTTGAAAGTTAATCTAGTCATTATCTTCGTCTTTTTTTCGGTTCTCACGACAGCCTCTAACTAAAAAGATGCCTGTTTTGTAACTCTTATTTCCGATTCGCGAGTGTTCTTGTTAGATTTTTTGCACAATTTAATCCGAATTCCCATTCTTCTAGTCTCTCTCACATAGGTCTCGTAGGGAAATCTTGTTAACAGTTCTGGTGAAAGTCGTACAAAGAACTTATAAGAGGATATATAAGGTATATTACTCGACTTTCTTTTTACTTTCCATCGGTAAAATGTAAATAACATTTTGAGACGATTTCAAAAACATTTTTTCATCTCCCCGAAGACTTCATTGGCAGAAAATTTTATTCCCTGTTTTTCATATCTGTAGCTGTTTACAGATGTGAAAACATCTGCAAACACCGGTCGAGCGCAACTCTAAATTATCACTTACTTTTCTCGGTGGGAGCTATATTTCTTCGCATTTAAATTTTTAACACGATCCACAGTGGCATCTACCTCCATACTTTTCCTACCAAAAATGTTATGACACCGCTCCTTCCTCTACAGCTGCAAAAAACGGGTCAACAAATACACGAAATAAACCGAATTATTTCTATTTTAAAGTTCGAAACACACTTTTTCTCCATCTCAAAGGAAGAGTCGGGAAACAAAACAGTTTCCCAATTTTAATAAGGTCGCAATCCTTTCTTTTTCTCTTTTGCTTTTAAAATTCGGAACATTGTAAATCACTCTACAAAAATACAGGGATAAAACTAAGTTGAATTAATATTAATTAGTTTATCATCTCTTAATTGAAGATAATATTCCAGCTTTATTTAGAAGAATGAACAGAATTACTACTTGAGAAGAGTAGCCTATATGGAAAATAGAAAAATTTTTTCATCGATTCATTGGCATTGAAGAGGCCTTCGCAGCGGGACAAAGGCCTCTCCAATTTCCTTTTGTTCTTCTCTATTGAGTACTCTTCTATATCACATATTCTTAATTAATCTCCTCGTCTGGTCACTCCATATTTTTCTTAGTCTTCTCGGTCTTCTGTTTGCAATTCGTGGTGTCAATTTTCTGAACATTTCGATCGAAATTGAACTTATTTATATATAAAGCTGATATTTATTGAATACGACTCAAAGGTATCCACGTTTACTGTCGTACTTCTACACGCGTATTTCCCGGGAGGGAGTAACTGTAGTATCAATAGTAATATACAGAAGTAAGAGCATCGCCCCCGTGTATCGCGTAGCATAAAACTTCGATCGCCACCGAATTACTTTTGGCAATCCAACGTACAATTGTACAATACCACATTTATTTAAATTATATATAATTTACGTTAAAATTCGGTTAAACACACGTTTTTAAGATATATTTCCTTCAAAAAATGAATTTTTATAAACACGAATAAATACGATCGCGTGTAAATTAAATATTAATTCGATTTAAATCGTATCGTGTCAAAGAATTATCGATCACATTCTTTGTATGCCGGGTCGCGGGTTCCAGCTGAAATTTCGCAATTTCTATGAATTTCCACTGCTTTTATCTACGATCGTTATCGACCCCGGAATAAAAAAACAGGAGTTTTATGAATTATGCCCAAATTCACTTTGTGTAATATTTTATTTTCGGTTTACGTGTAAAAGTATCGTGTAAAACAATACATAAAATTAAATATATCTTTACGTCATTTTACGTAACACTTTACAATATTCAAGATCACGTGTTTGTAAAAGGGCAATCTAAACAGTTACGCGGTTATAACGGAAAGAAATTTTTACAAAATTATATAATATATATATAAATATAAATTGTAAATAATTTATCGCCTACAACATTTTCTTTCAATAATTCTAATGGAAACGATATATATCTGTATAAATAATTAATACGTTCGTGCCCAATGCTATTTTATAGTCCTATTAAAGATTGTCGGAGATTTTAAAAAACGATATTTTGATCATTATTAACGGGAAAACAACCGCATTAAAGCGTGTAAAATATCGATTTTGGGGTTAGAATTCGCACGCGATTAACACGCGATTTAACGTCGATCCGGACGAAATTCGTTAATTAAAATGTATTCTTTTCCATTAAGAATTTAACATTTTTGCCTTAAAAAAATAATGCAGTAAAAATGTTTATTGACGAATTGTAAAATGCTAAATAGAAAGAAAATGCAATTTTTATCGCTTCGTACGTAATTAAAGGACGATAGTCTAATGGCGGATTTAGTGCGATAATCGATAAAATCCGTACTCGTAAATAGTAAAGCGTTCAAACCCTTTCGTGACCGACCCAACGATATTATTAATATCGCTAGGGACGATAGAAGTATTTTGCTGTTTTACTATAATATGTTGTCTGGTTACTAATCTTTCGTTTGTTTCCACGTCTAGAATACAATCCCGTGCGTGTGTATACTTTGTTGTGTCTACCGATGTCTGGAGAATAAAATGGTATCCAAGTTCTATCCCTTTCTCGAATAAAACCAACGAAGTATTTTGATATTCAATCAGTTAATGGTTAAATAAGAATGCGAGATTGCGTAACAAAAGCACTTATACGGCTAAGGTCTAGTTTTATATAACTGGTAGAAGATCCGTGCCTCGGGCACGTTAGATAAAACTAAGTAAAGAAGAAGAATTCTTTCGTTTTCTTTTGTATTTTACAACGCGCTCGTGACCCCGTATACTAAATAATATATTTGTAGTTCGATTTAAATTATCTTTGGAGTCGAGTCGTAATATCTTTAATGCGATTTTCGATGATATATACGTTTGATGATGCCGAGTATCTTTACTGTCAGAGGGATTTGCCAGCCTACTTATTTAATGACCCGAGCGATTTTGGACATTAAACTTGTCGGAGACAAAAATAACGATTGTCTTCTGCGTGAAAAAAAGCCAGTCTTATTTGTTGGTCTCGCTATCGCGGTGATAAATGCTCCCGCAGAACATGGCTGCGATTTTTTGACAATTCATTTTTTTCCTCTATCAAAATTTTTAGATTACTTTCGTTCGATTAAGTCCGAGATAATTTCCTAACAATTTTTTCGGCACTTTCCATCGATTATACGTTTAAAAGGGCGTATAATCGATGCATTAAACTTACATTTTTCCCTATACTTCTGCAAGAAATAGATTTCGGAAACGTGCGAAGAAGAAAATATATCTTACTGTGTCAATATATTTCTTATAGTCGCATCCTTCTCTCTCTGTTTCTTAAGGAAATCGATCGAGATACCGGGTATAAGATATATAAATATTTTAATGCCGTGTAAGATTAGACAAACATCGCCATTCTGCGTTATATGATGCGTTGAAAGTAGAATTAATCTTCACGTTTCCTCTCTTTCCGCTAGCAATTTATTGAAGTTGGTTAAACAACTCGTCGTAAGCTTCGACGTTGTATCCGAATCTATTGAGAAATTCGATATTTGTAATTTTATTCCATTAATTTTATTTCCTTGCCCGGGTGACGGCTAATAAGAGTATACAAGTAGCCGTTCTCCACATAATGTAAAGTAATTAAGTAATAAAAATTATTGCAATACGTAGTACAAACGTGTAATACCTCGGAACGAAATTTCTTTGCGGGTACGTAATAAATTAGGAAACAAAACCGGCACAATTTGTATAGTAGAGAGGTGGCAAAGACAAAAAATTTGGGTAAGGATGCGTAATGGGAAAATGTAGAACTAGTGTGGAAATTAAATACAAACACGTCGATCGTTTACGTGGCACCACGTCCAAACACGGCGCTTAAAATTGCCACAAATATCTACGATAGTCGACGTAAGCCTTTACGACGACTGTCGTTTTCTCCAATCGATAACATTTAAGTAGAAGATTATCTCACCAGAAACACGTGACTCTTCGAAGGAACCGAGCCGATAATCAGTAGCCGGGGATTTTTCCCCCCAGGGAAAAAATCCCCGGAAACGTAAGGCTAGTAGTAGCTCCTATCTGTATAAACTAATGTTACTTTTACTAAAAATATAAAATCTTTACAACTAATTTATGTATAAACGGATATTCATTTGTTTAAAAAGCAAAGCGCGAACTCCGAATGGCCCATGAATTGCCAGCTTATTTAGTAAAAGATTCCGTTGCTTTTTCGCCATTTAAACCACCGGCGGATTAATGTAACATTTTTTTTTTTTAATTTCAGGCCATCGCGGATTACAGAGAAGGCCGTTTGGGTTTCGTTCGTCCGCCGGCAGATGGCGCCAGCGGCGGGCCAATGGATTTATCGGAAGACAGTTGCACGATAAGAGGAACGATGGACGACGACGAAGGACAGCAATGATGACGAACAAAGAAAAAAAAAAGCCTTTTTAAAGCTCCTCGTGTCGTATTTTTTCTTCTTCCACTTCTTTTAAGCTGCGCACCCGACTCCAGACTTTTATTGGAATTTCTCTTTCTTATCGTCTCGATATTTTCCGCTTCGAAAGATGTCAAATTTAAATGGGAATAGGGAAATAGATAGTCGAAACACGTGGAAATCCGATGAATAACGTTAAATCTATCGTTCGAAAAATTTTAAAAATGTTAACCGTCGAATTTAACGTTAGACACGTGGAATTTTTAATTAAAGAACACGTGTTCGGATGGCATATTTTGAGCCTATACTAACGAAAATCGAAAAATCTATTTTACTTATTGTTTCGGGTATTCCTCGCACAGAAAAATAGCGATTTTTACCTAACATTTTAGTAAAAGAAAAAAAATTGTTGGCTAGAACACCCCGGGTGAAGGTTTTCTAGTAAATTACGGTCGGGTGAAAAATTGTAAATTTAGGAATAAAATCTAAATATAGAAAAAAAATCTGATAAATGATGCGGGCATGGGCTTAGAAGAGTTGATTTTTTTTGTATTCGAGAAATGCAGAGATCTTGATCTATGACGAAACTGAATATAAGTATTTTATATTCGGCTGGAAGTTGCCTTATGGTGATGACGGCAGGAAATGAGTGTACCGGTTGCCTTTGTACTGCCGATACCAGAAATGATTGCTACTGTCGCGTGTCAGCTGTTATAGATTGAAGAGCGGGTGAAACGGAGCGCGCGTGGCCAGAATCGAGCGAATGCTCCGTTATAGACTGTGTGACGTCGACGCCGTTAGTGACAAAAAGTCGAATCGTTTAACACGTAATTATAGACCGAAACATCTGGAAGATTGTGTGAAAAAAACAAAAAAGATCCAGCAATCTGAGTTTATGGAAACGGATCGCGACCTCCACAACGAAAAGAAAAGAATTATTGATATTTTTTCCAATTTGTTTGTAAACACTGGATAAAACGTGTATCGTTTATGTAATAAAGCTTACCGCAATGTTGTTCTGTGCTTCGACATATTAAATGTTACGAACAAAAATAAAAGTAATATATTATTCTAAGCTGCCAGTGAATGCATTCATCAGACGACGAGACGATCAATAATTCGTATCGAATCTTGTAGCCGGGCCGGCCAGCCAACCGGAAAGACGTGGGTTCGATTCCTCGACAGACTCCAACCCGCTCTTCCTCTTCTTAAAATACGTCGAACGTTCGTAATTTCGTGTGACGACAGCGAGGGTTATCCTACGGGTCCAGACCAATCTTTTATAAACTTTATTGTAATAAGAGGGTAAACGAGAGCGAGAAAAAATCATTGGTCCAAGTATAAACTTTTCGAAAGTAGCGAGTTATTGGAAACATAGGAAAATCATTAACTTGTTGATGTAGGCAAACACAGAAGAGATATAAGTAGGCCTATATTATTTCTCATTGGATCAATATTTACTCAGGTTCTAGAATTTTTTTTTTTTTTTTGGCTTAGATTCCGGATATTAGCCGAAGACGGTGGGAGAAAAACACCGTGGCAATTAATGCGAGCGACGAGCGACGAGTGATTTGTACACAATCAAACAAATCGTCCGCGTACGAAAATATTTAGTCGTACGACTACAAAATTATATTTCAAATGAGGTTTTTATTGAATTTTTAATGTTACACTTAAGTAATTCGTTCGGAAATGATTTCCTCCAGGTTTATTTCTTCTTCGTTTTCAGTCCATCGATTCGTTGGATGCTCCGCTCGATTTCCTAAAAATAATAACAACTTCTCTTCATATATTTTTCTTCTTTAGGGCGCGCTCTTATAAATAAAACTAAATTTGTGTGGGATGCGAATTCTAGATTATCGATTTCAGTTATTTATATTCCTCCCGTCCCCGTATTTTTAAATTAAAAAGCGTAATTAACTACGACTCTAAACGTTGACTTAATTTGCGTATTAACCCGTTCATTAGCCGAATGCCATCGTCTTCAATTAGTCGTTAAAATTTTTAATTTAAACGGTTTATATTTTCGATATTACTCGTAAGGAAAAGAAGAAAATTACATCATCTCGCCGGAAGTTTACGGATTTGGAATTTTTAATAATAAAAATGGAACGAGAACTGAACTTTTCGTGTTTGTATTTACTTAATATAATTGAAATGCCGTGATTTTTTCGAAAATATAAAATATGTTTTCGTCTACAAAATTTATTTAATTTTACATCAAAAAATTCGAGTGGTAAAATAAAATTCAAAACGAATTCTTCGGATAAAATAATTTTGGGAAGGTTGAAGAATTTCTGGCCATTTCGTCGGACACTTACTTGTTACATCTGTAGAAATTCGAAACTCCCGTGTAGATGCACATGACGGATCCGTCTCCAAAAAACGATACCGATATTTCATGCATGGCATCTGAAAATAAATCGGCAACCAGTTGCTCAACTTTTCCGGCAACCTTTAAAATTTCGGTGGCGCCATCTGTTATCATATTTTATTTAAAAAACTTTTACATTCTTAATTATTATAAAATGGTGAAAAATGGTTTTAATAACCAGTAAAATTATCGTTAAAGCCGACCCTAATGGAGATACACACCACCCCCATTATCTCTCCATCCTCTCGACCTTTAACCACTATAATTTAATAGTATCTATTACTCTAATCAACAAACCTATCCGCAAAATTTCAGAAATTTTCGACAAAAAGTACGGGAGTTATTAACGTCCGCGCACACACAGACACTAACGTTCACACATACAGGAAAAAACCTTCGAATTTTTTTGCATTTCTCGACGTTTCGAGGCGTTATAAGTCCAAAAATCCCGGGGTGGTCGTTTTTTGAACGATGGTCGTACTTTCCCTGTGTTATACTGTATATAACAGCCGTAAAAGTAATATAACTCTCGTAATATACGCGCGCACTTTTTTATATTTTTGTAAAATTTTCCTTTAAAATAAGTTTTTAAATAAGGTTACAAAGCGATTCGTTTGTTTTATCGGAAAGGGCCGAAAGGATTTTTAATTAGTTAATCGACTTTTGAACCACCCCGTTATCACACCCGTAACCAGACACGTATGTATATTTAATCATAAAAGTGGATTGTATTAAGGACCAAGGAAAGGAGGAGTTTTCTGTGGTATCGAGAAACGTTACGTAGCAAGGAACGGTAGTTTAAAATTGGATATTTACCTGTCAATTCGAATAAAATATTCTGTTTTTGTTACATCATATCTTAGCCTAATTTATATCGAGTAATTACAATTTGTTACGCAAATTATGCTGACAAACCACGTTAAATCTTCGATGGACGTGGGATGCCGCCATCAATTTTCGTCACGCAACAAATATTAAGAGGCCAACGTTGCCGACGTATACGTAATTATAAATAAACGAACATTGCAGATTATATAAAACATTATATAACGCCAGCCAATACCAGACGAGTCATTAAACTCGCTATTAACTTTGTAAAGTGGAATCTCGTTACAACGAAATTTGTTAAGACGAAAGTTTATTGTATCGTCGAGCCGGTTAAATGGCTAAACACGGAAGTCCGCATACGAAATAAAGATTTTATTTATGGTATTTACTTGGTTTTATTTTTATTTATTTCGTGTAAATAAAGTACAGTTTAGTTCCGAATTCCCTCCTCGAATGCCCCTCTGTCCCATCTCGGGGAAAGGCTAAAAGTACGAGATTACACCGTATACAGAAGAGCACTTTAGAATGTAATTTATATGCCAAGGATTTGTCCACCCCCCGTTCGATTTCGAGTCTTTCGGAGCGATTGGATGAGGTCATAACCGCTTCGGCTATCCGTTAAAAATTGTTAAAAGTTTTCAGTACTTAACAGATTCATCTATTGTTCCTAGTCTTAGACGGTATCATTTGGAAGTTCTCTAAGATTTTTCTCTAATTTATTATTAATTTCTCGTTTCTAATAAAATATATTGTATTTACTCTACACAAATCCTCGTATTTTTGAGTTAAAATGAAAAAGATTAAGAAAGTAAAAAATAAATCGCATGGAGATGCCATTAACATAATGGCTTCTTTTCTAATTTTTTCTTCGTTTTAACTCAAGAATTACAATTTATAATTATTTCGCCCGACGTTTTAAGTCTATATACAAATTTTTATAATAATTTAAGCGTACGGAAAAGTTTTATTACAGTTTTTTGTCAATTTAAAACATACTTCTCAGTAGTTAAAATTCACTTAATCTAGTTTAAGGGGAACGTACTAAATTACGATACAGAAGAGAATATTTTGGGAGAAAATACAATTAAAAACTGTAATATTTTCCTCAAATTTAATAAATTATAGGTCATAGGTAAAGCGTGTAGAATTTTACAAAATTTCTTTCTTTATGTAATCCCTTTGTTATCTTCATTCGTCTATTGTTTGTTACCATCATTAAATCGTTGAAATTGCCCTAATTCGGCTCTTCGCTAATAACTTTTCAGAACATTTAATTGAAAAACAAATTATTATCGGTCAACAATTATTTTGTTGTGTGTCTGCTATAAATATAAAGGAAAATAAATGATCACTCGACTTGTTAAATAAACGACCAATGAGTTACGCGGTTCCTGGTGGATAAATGTATACATTTTTATAAAATATCATACGATAAAGAATATTTTTCTTTTTTCTAATTATCCAGTAAGAGAAGAATCCAGTATTTAGTAGGGAAGTAAGGAAAAACACTGTAGAACTTTAAATGGAACGAATAGAGAACAGTCGTAATTTAAACACCGTACTCGTCTGTTCGAGAAGTTGGCGAATCTTTAACTTATATTCAGTTTAGTTGGCTGTAATAACGTTAAATAAGCGCGTATAAAAGACACCAGAAAAGTTGTAGGTTAGAAAAACTCACCAGCCAGAGGTGGTACCATGCTTCTTCTTCCGTATCTCCCGTTGGGATAGAACTGTTGGGCACTCAATTGAACCAGCAGACTACAGATGAGGGTGGCCGACAAAAGCCAAGTTATACTCCTTTTCTGATTAGCTTCCATCTGAAAAGCAAAGTAAAGCAATAAGCTACGCTCCTAGCTTTAAAAATCTGATTTAAAGTATCCGCTACTCCGATGAAAAAGCAATTTCTATCGTTTTATTCGTTTACCTAATTTCTCCGGAAGATAAACGAATTGAATTTAACATCTTTGCCATATATTTAATATAGTTTTATGAAGTTTATTAGATCTTCCAGTCGAGAGACGACAGCGACTGTCACTTAGAGGAAAGAAAAGTAAAACAAACTAAAATATTCTCCATTTCATTTATAAAAATACAAATTAAATTTCTAGCAGAACATTTTTTGACATTTCTTTAGAATTTTATAAGACAGACAACAACTTTCTTATTTTCCACACCAAATAAACTTCTTCTAAGTTTATTCTCATTAAAAAAACTCTAACATTAATTATTATTTGGTGGAAAAAACAAAAATATTCGAACCGCGAGCAAAGTTAAAGCGCTTGGAAAGAGCGATTACACAAATAAATTCATATAAGAATAATGATTAATAGAGAGAAAAAATACAGAAAAGAAAAGCAAAGGGACTTACACTTAAAGTGGGCATTAAATCTTCTGTCTTCAACTTTGTAACTGCCAGCATCTACTTCCAAAATTTATAGAACAATCGTAGAGGTAAATCATTAATTATTTATGATATCAACTAGTTGTAACCATAGGAACAGTTAGTCTTGCTTTTCCATTGGTTACGGAATCGACACGTGGCGAGAAAAGAACTTTTTGCCCGCCTACTTTTTCACAAGTAATTGGCTGGACTCGAATACTTTCCAACAATATTTTCCAACCTCCTCTCGTTAACGGCCTTGTTTGATTAACAATGCGCCCGGTTTTATTGCCTCCGACTTTATTACACTTTCCATTGTGTCAAGAAATTAATCCCAGACAAATCTTTCTCGTATTTGACCCGTCTTCTATATTTAAAAACCCCCAAACAAATATTTTTCTTATTAAATTCTTAAGAATTTTCTCATTTATTTCAACGTTTGTTCCATTAAAAATACGAATAAAACCATTAAAATATAATTCGTAAATATCTTAACACCTAAAGCGTAAACTTTATATAAATATAAGCCATATTTATACTCATCCACTGGAAAAGATGGAGAGAGAGAAGTCCAAGAGGAGTTAGAACCTTTGATACAGCGTGATTTATCCGCTGATAAATAAGTCATCCACTCGTTTATATCGTTAGAAAATGATTAAATATATTTATAAATTTATCTCTGAAAGTTTTGATGTTAAACGATAGAAAAAAATATTTAATCGGAAGCATAAACAAGCCTTTTTTTTAATCGTGTAAAATTAATGAAGACACAATGCAGAGTCAACATCTTTCGGATATTTTATACCTGGAATATATCATAAATCTTTTATTTTCTTGGAATGATGCGAATTATTTACCGAAAGTATTTTATGATTCGCTTCTCTAAAATGAAAAGAATTGCCCTTTTTTTCCCTCTAAAAACAAACAGAGAATATAGAAAATCATTTATTATTTAAAATCTATCATAAATCATTAAATCCGCCGCATCCGACCATCGTATGTATGAAGGATTCGGTGCATTCGAACCTCTTTCTGATGTTACTAAGTATTTTCTTGGCTTAATCTTTAAAAGAATATCAAATATCGCTTCCTCGAATTGAAATTTTAATAAATTTATTGTATTTTTTTACTCAAAAACCCAATTTTTTAGCGCGTATCCCTATCGAGGGCTGGGCGAAAAGTTGTCCCTTCGACCGTTTTGCGTGGTTTTTTGATGTATTTACTAATTTCTGCTCTTCATTTATGATTTTAACTGAATATTCGTAATGTAAATAACATAAAAATCAATTAAAAATGTAACGCATTTAAATTTTAGCATTAAAAGTTACATTTAATAGAGTTACACACAAATCTCCATTACTGACGGATCGGTACGTTTTACGATTTAGTTAATTAAGAAATCGTAAAATTAATACATTAATAAACATTTATATAACGTTTAAAAGATTTATTTTATTTTATTTATTTATTTTTATATAAAAAATTATCGTTTAAAGTACAGGATTGCTGCTAAAGTGTTTTTAAAAAAGTTTAAAAGTATCGAATTTAAAGATAATTTTTACCCGTAAATAGTTAGTGTTTTACTTTAAGAATAATATTTAATGCTTTTGTTGTTTTTAATGTAATTGCCAATGCAAATATAAATTATTTTATATAATTAGTAGAGCTTAGTTAAAAATAATCTTCATTTCTAAGAAATCTTCCTCTTTATTTATTGTGATATCGCGCAATACCGGGCTACAATTTTAAGTCACAATGCTCTCGATTTTAATAATGTCTTGCCCCTTTACATCGTACTTTTCCTGTTAACAATACAGTCCCGCCGGTCATAAGACAAAAGAGTAACTTTTTTCAAGGGTTACTTGAAATTTTTTCACTTTTTCTACTCATAAAACAGGTTAAAGAAGTGTTTAAAGCTGGTGGTTAAAGATGAAAATCTGGAGATTTTTTTCGTATTTTCCAATACTTTGAGTTAAAACTTCCAGGCTTTTCGATATACGTTGTATTTGTTTTTATATTTAACGTTTATTTCGATATAATTTCCGATCCATTCCAGCAGAATTAATTACAATTAGCTTTGTCATACGCGAGTGTACATTTTTTATAATTTAGATCGCTTCTTCAATAGAACTAAAGTAAAATTTATTAGGAAAATACTTCGAAAAGGCTGAGACACTAAACAAGGAAGAACTAAAGTCAATTAAGTAGTATCTGCTACAGTATGATGTCAGCGAACTCCAGCCAAAGTGTAACTATCGACCGAGTTGATTTATTACTTAAAGCAGCAGTTAACCCGTTGAGACGGTGACAAGATCGACCTCGTAAAGTTCACCAAACTTCCGAAATTGCCCGAAATTTAGATAAGAATATTCACACCTGGCCGTATACCAATTTATATAATGAATTTTAACCGTCGATAAGGAATCTTCCGACCACTTCTAAATCTTTTCTTTTCTTAAAAATCTCTTCGATTTTATCGTCGTAAACTACTAAACAAATAGACTTAATCGAGAAGGTTCGACCTCATCCGAAAATTCAATCAATTTGCCTCTACTTAAATTAAATTTCCGCCCTCTTCGGAGAGCCAAACATCATTAAAATTTCAAAATATTTTATTGTTATATATAATGATTATTGAATCGCTCTGTACGAGTGTAACAACGACTAAACCTAATTGCTGTTTGGCAATACAGAATGTTGTTGTCTAGAATTGGAAATAATGAAACTAATTCCTTTTCTACTTTCTATATTGTTCATTGCCTCATAACGCTGTGACAATTTATCAATTTTCCTATCTGTTATAAAACATTTCCAACATTTCTCGGTTGACACGAAACACGTCTCCACGTGTTTCGTGTTAAGCATTATTAAAACTCTCTTCTAATTTATTTTTCAGTTTTTATAGTTGGATTAATAAGATACATTGCGAATGGAGTACGTCATCTTTGAGCGAGTATCGCAAAGTGAAAGCTGATAAATCGAGTACGAGATAAAGATTAAAAAGTTCATTTTCTAATTGGTAAGAGAGAAGAGCTTAAATTTCTATTTAGCATGGGAAAGTGATGAAGAAGAGGTGTAGTCAACGAGCAATTATTCGTTGTGAGATCGTCACAATGCCAGGCTGCAAATTTTTACATCTCGATACACAATGCTCTCGATTTTAGTAGTGTCTTGCCCCTGCATACCATACATACCATACTTTCGCTGTTAACAAGACTGTCTTGCCCATGTACATCATACCTTAACAAGAGTGTCTTGCTCCTGTACATCATACCTTCCTGTTAAGAAGAGTGTCTTGCCCCTACACATCATATTTTCCCTGTTAACAAGTCTGTTTTGACCCTGTACATCATATCTTCCTGTTAAGAAGAGTGTCTTGCTCCTGTATATCATACTTTCCCTGTTAACAATCCTGTCTTGCCCCTCTATATCATACCTTTCTGTTAACAAGAGTGTCTTGCACCTGTACATCATACTTTCCCTGTTAACAAGCCTGTCTTGCCCCTGCACATCATACTTTCCCTGTTAACAAGCCTGTCTTGCCCCTGTACTTCATACGTCTCCTATTAACACGCATGTCTTGCCCCTGTACATCATACTTTCCCTGTTAACCAGGGCTGTGGAGTCGCGTAAAAATCTACCGACTCCAACTCCGACTCCGACTTTTCCTTACCATCCGACTCCGACTCCGACCAGGGCGGACTTGTTACCGAAAGAGACTCGAAAATTCTGACGTCATCACGTGACCTCAGAATAAAAGATTCAATAAATAGAGTTCTAAGTAATATATAAATATGTATTCGATAATTTTTACTTTTCCGGCTGTTACATATAACAGAGGATATATAACAAGGTGTAGCGCTGGGTCAAAAAAATGACCCCTCCCAAATTTTTACATTTTTTGACTAGGAACACCTCGAAATTTCGAGTTAATTAAGCAAAAGATTCGAGGTTTTCTTCTACATGTGTGGATGTTAGACTGTGTGGGGGCATGATTTCGTTCACCCTGTTTGAAGCCTAATAATTTCTGTGGTCAAAGTAGTCGGAATCGGAGTCGGATGGTTTAACACAGGAGTTAGTTATTAAGCATCAAAGTGGTTGTACTAAATCATGTCCCCATACACATTCTAACATCTTAGGCGAGAACATCTTAACGGTTTTACTGTACTATTATAAAATGATCAAAAAAGCTTACTTTGAGGATAGAGACGAGTTTTATTTTATTTTTTTTAATTTTGAACACTAATAACGTGTAAAATATCCATTAAGAGATATGACACACGACCACTTTTATGTCTTCACCCCGTCGACCTTTAATTAAGAACCAAAATTTAATAGAATTAATGCCCCTTTATACGTTTGCCACAGTGTCACATTTCGTTTCTTAAACTTTACCTATTTTGAGATATTGTTTAATATCTCAGAACAGAAAATAAAGAAATTAAACAAATTAGACACCAACACACACACACAATTTTTTCCCTTTTATTGACTTTTTTGAGGGGTTCGGGAGGTTTCCAAACGTGTAGATTTGTAAAAAAATAACTTGGAGGTCAAATTTGACACGATTCCAACACTTTTCCGTTTTATATACATAACAAGTTGGTAAGTAAAAAGGAGTCGGAGTCGGCGGATGTTTTGACGACTCCGACTCCGACTCCGGTTAAAACACCAAAACTCCACGACTCCGACTCCGACTCCGGCTCCACAGCCCTGCTGTTAACAAGAGTGTCTTGCCCCTGTACATCATACTTTCCCTGTTAACAAGAGAGTAATGCCAGTCATCTATCTGATTCTATTATGGAAAAAATCTTTGAATTAAACAATAAAATTCTTATATAGTTAATCGGTCCTCCCGTTTCTAAGCTTTTCATATCCGATGTTGAATTTTATTTTATCTAACTCCGTTCTCGAGTTTAACGAAGGACAGACAGACGGACGTCAGCGGAAATTTATAGGTCTGCAATTTTGAAATTGCAGCCTAATAAGTAGGGTACGAGGGGGCGAAATGGAAAAAGTAGCCACTACCTTAAAGCTA